TAGAAAGTAAATCAAATTATATATATAAAAAATTTATTTTTTTTTTAAAAAAAAACATTGGAAATTATTGTGTCAATTTTGATTTGGTCACAAAATATTATATATATATATATATTTAGTATGAAAAAAACTACAGTATATATATATACTGAATAAATCAATTTTGTCTATATATTATATTAGACATCAAGTGCTAAAATTATACTTTTTTATATAACAATTGTTTTTGACAAACTTTACTTTTTGTATATATATATATTAAAAAAGTTATTTCAATTTTTTTGGACAAAATTTTTTGTTACTATTTTTTTATTTTATTAAATTATATATCAAAATGCTTAAGTGTTGTACTACTGTATTATCAATAATATACTGTATATATAGCATAATAAACATATATATATATATATATATATTGTATAATAAAATTAATAATTTCATTTAAAAAATCATAATTATAAAGTAGAAATACATTTTTTGTTTTGTTTCATAAAACCATAATTATGATAGTAATATTGAATATAAATGTAAATTAATAATTTTATTATTAAATTTTAATTTAAATAATATATTACGCGTATATATGTATACAGGTAGAAAATTAGCATATGTCAGCATATATTTTATATATATAGTATATTGTATATAACTATTTGAGAAAAAATATATAATTATTTTAATATAAAATAATAATCATAATAATAATAATTAAAGGTTGACCTCAAAGTGATTTTTTCGTTGTTTTTATTTTTATTATTATTATTAAGTGAAGTAATAGTTTCAAAATGATTGTGTGCCTCACTTCCTGTCATTTTATAGATGCGTTTCCCATATATCTTATATAATGATAATATTATATAAGATATCAAACTAAATATATAACTATATATATATATATATATATATATATATATATATATATATATATTCTGTTTGATGTGTGTGTGTCTATGATCACGGCTTCAAGATTTTTTGATGTGTCGACATATTTACAGAATATTCTATAATATATATATCTATATATAAATCTATGTGTTTTATATTATCTATATATTGATATATATATATAGTAGTAGTATATAAATATTATATACCATATATTACATGTATATATATATATATATGGCTCATATCCACAATCATTTTATGCGTTTCCTTCTTTTGATTCCTATTTTCTCACTTTTTTTATTTTATTTTTATATATATTTTTTTGCTTTACATTGACTTCTTTAAGCAATATATATATATATAAATATATGAGAGATGTGATGATGTGATGGTGTGATGGATATAAAGAGATGGCAATTCATATCAAGTGAATCCATGCGATAAAATAGCGCCTCTTTTTTTCTCACACAAGCCTTCAATACATTTTACTTTATATTTATATATATATATATATATATATATATATATACTGTTGTCTCCACAATATATTTATTATAGTTTATATTTCTACAATATATATATGATATACATGTATAATATAGTGAACAGTCAATTGTGTTATAAATGGCACACTTTTTCACAATATCTCTCTCTCTCTCTCTCTCTTTCTCTCTTTCTTTCTCTCACTTATAGACAATAATATATTCACACAAAACTCTATTACATAAACAGTAATTCAATTTTGGTTTCCATCGACTGATTGATTCGCTTATATAAAAGTATATAACATTTATATACTGTATATATATACTAATGAATAAATTTTTTTTTCTCAGTTCCAAGTAATTCAATTTAAGTAAAAAGTTTAGCTATATTGCTGTTATTATTATTATTATGTTATATATATATATATATAGTATTGTATATAATAATGTTACTTATAATTAATAATTTACAATCTTTTGGGGTTATCTTAATTGCATCAAAATATTAAAATTTTAACACATAAAGTATCTGAAAAACAAGTATATATATATTACAATAGTACTGTATTTCTTTTAATAGGTGTAAACTAATTAATATATCAATAAATTTTAATGTACTAATATATTTATATACAGCAGTAAAAATTGATATCACTTAATTTAAACTGTGCACATATATTTAGTAGTATTAATATATATATATATATAAATTACAATAATAATAATAATAATAATAATAATAATATATTGTTTTATTCCCCCCGACTTATGTGTAACTCAATATGATTCGTATGAATGATTAAATTAAATTAAGTTTTACAATGTATAGAAATACATGTTTAAAAAGATTGTCTATATATATATCAAAAAAAATAAATCTTAATGAAATATATTTAAATTTTCAAAATGATTTTACAATGATTTCAATAGTTGTTTTTTTTTATAATAATGATGAAACAATCAATTGTCTAATAATAATAATAATAATAAGATAACGTTAAATCGATAGACAATTTTATTATTTTATTTTTTTTGCTCACTAAGAGATCGATAGGCATTGGGATATGGATGGCTTGGATGGCATATAGATTGTCTTCAAATGTATCAAATGATTTACAACCTTTTTAGTGGTTAGACATCAATCATTAATACAGTAACGCCAATGCAATATATATATATATATATAGTAAGCAAAACTTGAATTACCATAAAGTCATCACTTACTATACCGTATAGTATACTATGGTGTATATTAACTGTATATTACTTGTAAAAAATCATTTTACACTATATTTTTTTTAAAAATGTGTATAACTATATCATGATATGGATGTCTTATTAAGAGAAAAATATTTTTTTTCCTATTTAAAAATAATATAATAAAATTGACAACTTTTGAATTGATAATTTTATTTTAAAATCAATAATTTACAAAACTAATGTATATAATTATAATATTCAATATATCGATATATAAATGCTATGATATAAAAATAATGCCGTATCGAGAAAATAATTTTTAAGATATATAATATATAAAATAAAAGTTTATATATAAATATTTATAAAGTATATTTATTTGTGAATAAACTTTTTTTTATTATATTATTATTATTATTAATTTGTATAATGCATTTTTTGACTGTTAATTATAATAAATGACAAAACACGCAACAACAACAAAAAATAAAACAAAAGTTTTTATTATACTAAAAATAAATTATATATTTTTTAAAAAAAAAAATTTATGACAAAAAAAAGATATTATCATCAAATTGTTTACTACTAAATAGATTATGATCGACAGCATCAACAACAACAACAACAACAAAATATTAAAGTATTAATATTTAATAAGTCTATACATAATCATAATAATGTAAATACCCTATTGTGTTATATACTGTAATATATTATTATGTAATGTATAAAAAAACAATGCATTAACTCAATTAATATTATTTATCAAATTTGGATTCAATATATATATATAGTGTGTTATTAAGTAAGTGTGTGTATGTGTGTGATAATGATGTGAAAAACTTTTTTTTATATATAGCAAACAACCTTAAAAAATGATTGATAACTTCAAACGCCTTTATATAATCATATGGTTGTCCCTATCGGACGGTATGACTTCTTATATATGGCAATTAGAGAGAGAGAGAGAGAGAGAGAGAGAGAGAGAGAGAGAAAGAGAGAGAGTCTCTGGTATGTGACTCTCAAAAAAAATGAGATGACATTAAATAAATTGATGTCAAATAAGTTTTATATATAATAATAATAATAATAATAATAATAATAATAATATTATTATTAAATGATTCGTTAATCTCTTATATTATCTAATATAAGCTATCGTTCAGTTTTGAGATCTTTTTTTTTAATGATCAGTCAATTTCAATGTCTTTCAATGAATTATCCGTTTGAAAAAAAACACTCAGACATAGACTTTTAACTCCTTCCAACAAACTTGGGTCCAATATATTGATTATCTCCTAAATATATATATATATAAAAATAAAATCAATAAAACACTTGTTTTTACACTACTGTCTCCTTTTAATCATACTCTTCATCCTCTCTCTCTCTCTCTCTTTCTCTCTGTATTTAACTGTCAACTTACTGGTAGATATCAACAACAAAAAAAATAAAACACATTGATTTTGAACCAGCTCTGCCCTACCGTACCGGGCACCCGATGCTGATGACCTTACCAAACCAATTTAAGGGTTGTCCATGTTGTTTATTTAATTGAATAATAAATTTAATAAATAAACAACATAGATTTTTATTAAATAAATTTGTCTGTATATGTATGCATAAAATTTTTTATATTGTTCACATATACAGATATATATTACATATATTGTATAATTTAGTATTAATAATTTATTTTTAATAATAGTTGTTTACAAATAGTTTAAATACATTTTATATGTTTATATATATATATAAACTTATATATTAATTTATTAAAACAAAATAACATTGCTTATAAAAAAAAAACCAAAGCAATAAATTAATTAATCCAAACTAAAAGTATTGGTCACAAAAAATTCAATTAATTAAATTAATTTCAACTATAATATATATATATATATATATAAAAGTTAAGGCATACATACATAAAATGATATTTTAAATGATTTTAAAAAAATAATATTTAATTAATTTTAAAAAAAACATTTATGAATTATCCGATAAAAAAACAATGTGAACAAAATCACACAAATTTATGAAAACATGAAATAAAAACTTATTGATTATCAAAGTATATGATATATAAAGTATATTACTGTATAAACTTAATGAGGTATATATATAATAAAAAAATATGATATCATGAAATCACACAATTGTAATTATAATGCCAACAACAAAAAATTGATTTATACTATTAAAAAAAATCAATGATTGATTGATTGATTTAATAATAATTATTTTTAAAAAAATAAACTAAAAAAATATTATGCAATTGATTATTACAGTATTTATATATATTTTTTATGTATCAGCAAAAAAACTAATAAATAATTTTACCGTAAATTTTTATTTCCTCTCCAAAAATATCACACACAATATATATATATAAATTATATATATATATCAATACAAACAACTAATCAATTTAATAATAATTTAATTATTATTACCGTATGATTGTCTTAAAATTAATGAATCAATCAAACAATAGCCGAGACTCATAGTATTTGATAACCAATTGCGGACAAACAATGTTTGCCTGTTTGCCCAAAACAATGGACACCACCTCATCATCATCGGAGTCCGCGGTGTCCAACCATTTAATCCAAAACCAAATGTTTTTGCCGTCAAAAGCTGCCTTCACTATCTTCTCGGGTCTCAATCCTACCGGGAAAACAGTGTACACCACATGCGGACACCAATGGCACGGCTTTGAACAGCTTTTGGTGATAACTCGTTTGATTGTTTGACCGCAAGTGGTATTATTTGGTTCACATATTGATGACGATGTGGTTGTCTCCAGTCTATCATCAGTTGTTTTGGTGGTCACCTCCTCCTCCTCTTCCTCACTGACAACTGTCTCGTCCGAATCGGTGTCCGATAACAATACTAAGTCGCCGTCATTTTCATCGGTTGTATTATCGGCTACTACTGTGGCCGCCACTGTTGTATCGGTTATCGTCGTTGTAGTTGTCTCTGTCTTGTTGTTGTTGATGATGACCTCATTGTCCTCTGGAGGCGGCGGCGACGCTGGTGGCACATGCATCGACTCAAACTGTCTGATCAAATGATGACAACCATCGATAAGATTATCGATCGGTTCCCATGTGTTGTCCTTTTCGTCAAATTCGCGCCATTTAACCAAATACTGGACCTCATCGTTGACTAGCCGTCGGTCGCGTATCTGTTCGACAACAAACAACGATTGGCCAACCAATGGTTGGCCATCGGCATCACTATCATTGCCGTCGTGTCCATCGCCACCACCACCAACACCACTACCACCAATCGGATTAACCTTTTTCTTGCCCATCAATCACTTGTTTTGTGGTTATAACATATGCACTGATATATCATATGATATGATTGTATTAGTGATTAGTATTCAACAATTAGTAAACAACATGTATTGCAATCATTGTAATCACATATAATTTAGAAGATTGTAAACACATTTTTATTAATTAAAAACTATAGTACTGTTTGTTACAAAACAAAACAATTATATACTGTATATTAATAATTAGTTTTTAAACAATCAATTTATTATTATATTTATTTTGTTGTACGTATTATATTATTGTTGATGCAATAAATTGTTTGATATTAATACTATACTATACATAAACACTGTATTTTTGAAACACACATAAACAACAACTCATATCATATATGACATCACATACTGTATTAATACAGTATAAGCATAGGATTTGGCGCACAGTTTAAAAACACACAAATGTTTTATTACAATAACATATTTACAGTAGTATTATTTAAATATATTTTTTTTAGTAATTTTATTTGTAAAAAACAATTTATACATTATATATATATATATATATATATACACACATATATATATTCACAATGTATATATATATGAATTGTTTTTTACAAATATAATTATTAAATAATATTTAAATAATACTATATATAGTATATATATATACTAGTATATTATAAGTTACATATATGTAATACGTATATGTAGTATAATGTATTTTACTGTATATGTAATATATATAAATAATATATTTATATATATTTAGTATGCCAAAAATTAATATATTGATAGTTGAATATATATAAATAATTTAAATGTTTTTCAAAAAAAATCTAAATAAATAATTTTTTAAAAATATGTGCAATAAATGAAATTTTCAATCAAAAATTTTCAAATTTAAAATAAACAAGTTAAATTACAACATTGATAGAATTAATATATATATATATATATATATATATATATAATTATCAGTTTAATGTAAATTTTGCTATATATATATACAATATAATGTAGTTATATTGATTAAATTTTATTACATTAATTTAGATACTATATTATATACGGTATACTTTTTACTTTTTACTTTTTATTTGTAGATAATTAAAACAAAATTAAATTAATTAGTGTTCAAACCTAAGTGACTTCTATACTATACTATATACAGTATATACTATATATATATATATATATATATATATATATATATATATATAAGTATAAATTTTTGATAAACAAATTATTTTTTGAATATTTAATTGAATTATGAATATATTATATTTATTATACATTTGAAAAATGTTGTAAATAAATAAATATACTGTATATTTCAGTACTATAGAAACTTAATTAGATTTTTATTTTTAGATAAATTTATTAAAAATTAAAATCTATATGATAGTATCATATAATGATAGTACTTAATGCTATAATTAATTTTAAGTAATAATATATTATACATATCTACTGTAATATAGTAACTGTATATCAATATTAATGTATAGAAAATATTGACTTAATTTTTAAAATAATTATAAAATATATAAATAGATTTTTAAAATTTTGCATAAATATTGTATAAATTATAAAATGCTAATAAAAACAATTGTCGCTAATTTTGGATTCAATTATTTTATTATTATTTTTTTTATTGAATACTTTTTTTGGCTGTTTTTGTTTTAACACTAAAAATTTCACAAACAAAAGGCTATATAATAATGTATGATATAATGAAATATAATATTTGCTTAATAAAAGAGAGTTTTCATTTTGGTTATAGAGTTTATAATAAATGCAACAAAAAAACAAAAAAATATAAATTAAATATATATATATATATATATAATATATTTTAACAGTTGAATGAAAGCTATTTTCATTGATGTTATCTTTTAGTTTTGTGTTACGTATATAATTGAGTTTATTTTAAATGTTGAGATAATTAAAGTAATTTTCTCTCTTAATAATTGACTTTAATTAAATTAAGTTAAACAATATAAACTCATAGACAGTTTTTAAAAATACAGATTAATATACTGTATAATAATAATAATAATTTAAACTAGCACTATGAAATCTAAATTAACAATGACATCATATACTGTATAATATAATATATATATATTAATTTAGTTATAATTAAACATTTTTTTTGTTGTTGAAATAAAACAAATAAAAAGTATTTAAGTTGAATAAATTAAACTAAAGTGTTGTCTATAAATTAAAAATAATAAAATAATTAGTACAGTATTATCATAATAATCGTTTTAATAATGATGATATTTAAAACATATATATACAATTATAGTATATTATATATATATATATATTAGCAATTTAAAATAATCATATGATATTAATATATATATACGGTATATATAAAGATAAATTACTTAATATATGACTGACTATTAATTATTTGAGAAAAATATTTTCATTATTCAAAAAATTTTTATTAAAAACTATTTGTTTGTGTCCTTCGACTTGAATCTGTTTTTGACATTTCAATAATAGATATAAATTTACTTATTATTCTAAGATATTTATAGAGAAAAATTAAAATTAAATTATATTCAACAACAAAAAAATTATGATATCTATATATTATATCTAAAAAAATAATAATATAAAATTAACCTTAATTTTCATTAATTATAATTATTAATATTCAAAGATTTCCAACAAAATAATAATATTAATGATAAATTGTAATTATATAATAATATTCATCTATTAAAAAAAGTTTTTTTTAAATTTGATAATTTAATATATAATTAATTTTAGTTTAATAATTATTATATTATATTATATATCATTAATATTATATTTTTGTTTATTATATTAAATTTTTATAAAAAACAAAAATATTTATTTTTAAAATTAACTAAAATTAATTGTTAAATAAATACTACATTACAGTATATAAATAAGATAGATTAGTTTTTATATTATAATTTAATTTAAAAATAATTAAACATTTTTTAAATTTCTATATAAAGTTATATAATTACTGTATAATATATAATATATATATATATACTGTATATAATTATAGTAATAATTAAAATGAAACAAATCATTTTGTTTACATTGTATATTGTATTGTAATCATAATTTTCAAGTAATAGATAGCCAGTTGTCTATGTGTTTGTATGTATGTGTTTGTATGTATGTGTTTGTATGCATATGTTTGTATGTATGTGTTTGTATGTATGTATGTGTTTGTATGTATGTGTTTGTTTGTATGTATGTGTTTGTATGTATGTGTTTGTATGCATATGTTTGTATGTATGTGTTTGTATGTATGTGTTTGTTTGTATGTATGTGTTTGTATGTATGTATGTGTTTGTATGTATGTGTTTGTATGTATGTGTTTGTATGTATGTATGTATGTGTTTGTATGTATGTGTTTGTATGTATGTGTTTGTATGTATGTATTTGTATGTATGTGTTTGTATGTATGTATTTGTATGTATGTGTTTGTATGTATGTATGTATGTATGAGTAATGTTTTATAAGTTGAAAACCAGATTTCTTCTTAAAGAAAGTGTTCACAAAAAAGTGGATATAAATTGGATACAAATGTTTTGCCTCTAAAAGAAAAGCCAGTTTTTTGTGGTGGTGTTTGTGTGAGAGACACCACCCGAGGCATTGATTACAATAATACCGGTATATGTAATACATTGTCACAAACACACACACACATTGAGAGAGAGAGAGAGAGAGAGAGAGAGAGAGAGAGACTAGACATTCATGTTTGGTTAGTAAAAGTATATATAATAACATTATATACTAACTCAAAGTTTTGTATATACTGTATATATAAATTATGCCAATATATATATTTATTGACCATTTTGTTTAAACTATCACAATTATTTACTATTTCATTATATATATATATGTGTGTGTGTTATCTTATTTAATCAACAATTATATAAATATTATATCATAATTTTGTTGTTGTTGTTGTAAAAATAAGTATTATTACTATCGTTTATATTTGTTTATATAAATGGTTAATATTTTATCACATAATTTATACTGATGGTATATTATTAATAACATATTAATATATAAGAAGTTATTAATAATTATAACTAAATGATAGTTAAATAAACTATTAGTTATTGTATATACAGTACATATACTGTATATGAAATGATAAAATATAAATAACTTAAATAAATGGTTATTTAAACATTGATTATTGAAACTCCGATACTATGATGAGATAATGAGATCTAATGTCTGGCTAGTAGTGAATGTCTATAACTTTTAAGTAAACTATAAGTTAGGACTATAACTAAGTGACTGACTGTTGATAAGTAATAGTTTTAATTGAGTTTAACAGTGATTACACTACACTAGTGATTGTATTACTACTAGTATTTAGTATTAGTAGTGTATTATTTTTAAATGATTGGTATCATTACCATTACGACTAACTTTGATGTCAGTATCGATAATAATAATAATAATGCTAATGAAAGTCATTTGGCCGGTTGTTATGTTATTGGCATCACTGGTAGTGATAGTCCAGTCGACTGAGACAACTACTGTAATCAATGGACAAACAGTTGTGGATTTAACTCATCCGCTCAATAGTCAAACACTTCACTGGATTGATGCCCGAGATTTTGAGCTTAAGATCACTGTTAACGGCACAGTTAGACGGGGAGAGTCAAACATTTGGTACGTTTACAGTATTATAAATATATAGATATATATATAACAATTATTTATAACTAATTTCATTAGTTTATAATATATTTACAACTAATAGCATTTCTATTACTAATATTTTCATTATTATTGTTGTAGTGATAAATATCATTGAATAGCAAATTATAATATAAAACTAAAAAATTATTGAAAAAAATAAAATTAAATAAATTTATTATATAAAACAACAAAAAATTATATAACAACTAAATTTTTGTTTAATTTACAATTTTTGTTTATTATTATTATAAAATCTAGGGTACAGGCTGATGAAATATATATGGCTACACATACGGGCACACATTTAGGTACTACCATCTCATGATTATCATAAACTTAATTAATTAATTAATTAAATATAAAATGTATATATTTATATCTAGACGCTCCGTGTCATTTTGCCCGAGGCAAGTGGTCAGTGGCCGACATACCGATTGTAAATTTTGTCCATCGGCCGGTTGCCCTAATCGATATTGTCGACCAATCGATGGCCACCCGTGACTATGAACTATCGGTTCGTGATATTCACGATTGGGAAAAACAAAACGGTCCAATAGTTGACGGTTCGGTAATATTGGTACGAACCGGTTGGGCCCGATTTTGGCCAAAAAAGTTGGAATATTTCGGTACGGAAACCAAAGATGAAGCCCTACTACACTTTCCCGGCGTACATCCTGAAGCCGCCCAATGGATTGTCGACAATCGCCAGATTATGGGCATCGGTATCGACAGTCCGAGTATAGATCACGGCCAAAGTAAACAGTATCGATCGCATCAGATATTTGCCCAGAAAAATATCTATCATTTAGAAAATATTGCTCAAAATATACACAAATTACCAGCAGTGGGCGCCCACCTAACATTATTACCATTGAAAATAGATGGGGCCAGCGGTACATCGGTTAGGATAATCGCCGAAATTGGTGTCGACAACACTATGGCATCGATTTCAAACAGCCAACAATGTTTTGCACCAAATTTATTACTATTGCTATCATTTGTTACATTAAGATATATTATCTCCTAAATTATCGTATATATATATATATATATATAGTATCCTATCCTATCATATCTATCGTATCTATTATTTTTTATTATAGTAACAAAAATAAAACATTATATTATATAGATTTTTTATTACAGCAATTCACTCAACATATTATATTTGCATCATTTCATACCAACTATTCATAGCATATATACTATATATATATATATATATATATAATATGATGATATTGTCATACAGTTTTGACTCTCAAACTCACTCATCATCCGATATTTTATATACAATAGATATATATATATATATTATATGATATTAGCTGAATGAGTGACTCTACTATCAAATAACATTTATTGGCCCCTAAATTGAACTAGTTTAGATATACCACCCAGGCAACATTTATTATTGCTTTATTACCAAAACAACAAAACTAAAATAACAATCTTCAAATTACTATACTGTACTGTATATATATATCATTATACTTAATATATATATATACATTATATATATTTTATATAAAATAGTAAATAAAAAAATTATCAACTTTATTTTTATGAGTTCAACGGCATAATAATAATAATAACATTAAAAATAATAAATAAAAAGTCATTTTTGACATTTTTAGTTAACAAAAATATTGTTTTTTTTGTGTGTAATTAAATTGTGTCTATTAGCTATTTTTATTATATTCAATATTGATTTAATAATACTAATAATAATAATAAAAATAACTAATTAAATAAAATTAACAAATTCCGTATTTCTAATGTATTTGAATTTACATAATAAATTAAATAAATAAATAAATATTTATTAAAATATATATATATAATGTATGTTTTTATAAAAAAAAGTGCTATCTAAACAAAACCATTGTATATTGCTATATATAAATTGATTTCATATATATATATATATGAAAAAAGATATACTATATTTGATGTTTTTATTATTATTATTATTTTTCTGGCCATTTGTATTGTTATTTTTTGTCTTTACAAACACATACACACACACACAGACACACAAACTGCTAGAGTGAGGCTCAACTTAAATATCAATTTGAAATATATATATATTGTATATATATTGTATATATAGTAATAAATATAACCAATTGTGATGCTAACCATTATCTGGTCAATTTCAGTTTGCTATACTAGATATATATAGATATATATATATAAAATATAATCAAATTTAGATTCACTATAGTTTCTCATCTAATACTGTAAAATGTCGTCAAATATTATTATTGTTTGTAACAACTAAATCTGTTATTTTAGTTTCTATATTATTATTATTATTTATTATTATTATTATTATTATTATTATACTGTAAATTTATTATAATTGTAAATTTTATTAATATAAAATACTATATATATATTGTATTTAGAAAATAAAATAAAATACTAACAATAAAATAAAAACTAATTTACATAAAACAAACAAATTAGTTGTAAATATTGTGGTAATACTATAATTTAAATTATAAATTTCTATTGCATTTTAAAATACATTTAAATTAAAGTTTACTTTACAATTTCTACAAAATTTATTTATTTATTTATTTTATTATAAATATGTTTATCAAACAATTTGTATAAACAAGTGACTAATGAATGAATAAAATGTAATTATTGTATTAATTGCTTACTATTTATACAAATGTATTATACCAGTGGTTTTATTTACAAAATAATAATAATAATAATAACTTATGAATTTTTTGTAAACTTATAAGTTTTAATTTTAATTTTAGTATCAGTATAGTTTTTATTATTGTTGCAATATATCAATATACTGTATAATAGTTTTCAAGTAAAAAAAATCTTTATATAATCATTTTATTTCTAAATTTATTATATTAGGAATATATTAAATATAGTCCTATTTTTTATTGCATCAGAGTATGTGAGTGAGTGAGTGAGTGATTGAAAGAGAGAGAGAGAGAGAGAGAGAGAGAGAGAGAGAGAGAGAGAGAGAGAGAGAAATAAAGAGATCAATAAATGTCTGGTAAATGACAAGAATAGCTAATATAGAAACCAAAATGTTATCAAATAAATTATAGACTAGAGATGAGAGAGCAATACATCCACTAAACACAGTGCCCACTATATACAGAATATACTGTATATATATATATTGTACACTATGTTTGCCTAACCATTCCCACGACGACTAGTTTATATCGATAGATAGAAATATACGAAATATTATTATTATTATTATCTAATATTAGATGAAACGAGAGATCAGTTAAAATATATATATATATATAAAAATAGATACAGAATATTAAACGGAATACAACAACGAAACAAAATAACATATAAAAAATGTATTCAATTTTATTTTCATCAATTAATATATATATATATATATATATATATATATATATATAACTAATTTTTAGTTGTTTTATATATTATTTAAATTTATATCTAATTTTTGTAGTTTGTACACTAATAATACTAATTAATTATTCGCTATATCATATTTATCAATTTTTATTTTGTTATTGTTACATACTCTACATGTTTATTACACAATTATACATATTTTTTATTATACATAAATTTTTTCAAAATGTAATTTATGACTTAATTAATTACACAACTTTTATACATATAAAGGTTAAAATATAATTATAAGTTATAAACATTTAAACTATATCATGTCATTTATTTTTTTTATATATATATATGAAAAAATTTATTCATATCTAAAAAATAATTTTATATATGAATTCAAGATTTATTTTCTATAATAATACTTATTTTAATGTGCTTTCTTTAATACATATACTATACAACAACAAAACTACTAACAAATAGAAGATTTTTAAAAATAAAAATTTACAATCATATAATATATAATAATAATACAATATATAAAATATAGTATACTGTATATCAATAATACATTGTAATCTTATGAATTTTTATAACTATATTGTATATATATATATTATATGCATTCACTTTATTTTTTTATTAGTTATTGTAAGTATACTGTACATGCATTATATATATATACAACAAAAATAATTCAAATGCTAAATAAAATTTTTAGGCAACACACAAAACAAAAAATATTTACTATTTACGATTATAATATTAAAGTATCATACTATATATATATACATACATACATATCAATATATACGATTAAATTGTATATAAATATATAAATATGATTATGTTCATTTAAATAATAGAAAAAAATTATAGTAAGCATTATATTATATTATATTATATTTAAAACCTAAGCAAAAGCATGTATTTGCATATATTATATCATTTTTTAAAAATTTGTCTCATGAGATGTAAAATTTTTCAAATCAATACCATAAATGGTTATATATATATATATTTCAACAAAAGATACGAAAAAAAACATTTATTTTGTTCACAAAAAAAAATAAATATCAGATAAAATAAAAAAATAAAAAGAAATATTATGTTTTTGGGTTATGGGTTTGGGCTGAGCTTATGTGCTGTCATTTTAGGGCATAATATTTATTTTTTTGTAAAAATATAAATATATATAAAAAAATTTATTCAACAAAATAAAACTAATGCAATGTTGTGTGTGTGAGAGAGAGAAAGAGAGAGACAAAAATATTTTGTTTAAATCATCAATAAATAACTTAAATATTTTGCTGAATATGTAAAATTTTTGATACAATTTAGTTATGGGAAATTATTATCATTATAATAATTACTATATATATGTGTGATAGTATATTATATTTGTAGTATATTGGTAGAATAGTAAACCAATAAAAATAATTATATATTTATACAGTATATATTATAATACAATATAATTTAATTATATGTATTTAACACAATTTATATATTAGTTTTTCATAATTATATAATACAATTTTATATATAATCCAAACTAACTAAAAGACTAAAAGACTAGTTAAATAGACGTCAAAGTAATTAAAGATTTTGTAATTTTAAGATTTTATTTTTTAAAAACTTTTCCTAAATAATTGAAATGCCTTTTTCTTTTGTATATTAAATTATTATTATTATTATTATTATTACTACTACTACTATTATTATTTTATATTATATAAATAGAAAATGGGAGAAAATTTTGAGAAACTATAGAAAAAATGTTAATTACAATTTTAACACAAAATTTTCAGCAAAACAAAAACATAGTGAAAAAAATATGTTTCACAAAAGTGTCAAATAATTTTGTTATACAATATATATATACACTATATTCTCCTCTAATGTTATATAATATAATTGTAGCAAAAATTTTTCAAAAGTTTAATTTCAATTTAAGCTCATTAACTCATAATAATAATAATAATAATAGCTGTAAAAAATATAGGGATTGTACTAAAAATAGCATATATAGCATATATGTATATTATTACACAATACATGACAACACAACGGGAAAAAAAATGTTATATGAATTTTCAATTATGTTTTCATTTGGTGTATATAGTTTCATAATTTGTTTGCAACTAAAAATAATAATAATAATAATAATAATTGTTTATTACTACTAAAATTCAATTATATGTAATTATTCACATATTTATAATTTAATTGGAAATGTCACATTGTTTAATAATAATAATAATAATAATTAGTTGCACACAAATTGTTTTCAAATATTATATGCTTAAAATGTTTTAAACAATATATAGAAAATAATAATTATATAATATATTGTGTTATTATTTTTTTTAAAAAAAATACAAAAAATTAATAATAATATTAATATATTAATACTATACTATTAATATATAAATTGCTACTAAACATGTGGTCACTTCAAATAAGACTCTATCGTTGATATACTACTACTTTATTATTATTATTATTATTTTTTGATAAATTATTAAATCTATCCAAAATAATCAAATATAATAACTTTATAAATATTATATGCTTACACTGTATATATATATATAAATTTATTGATAATATACTATATATATATATATATAGTATTTTGATGATTACACACACACACACACACACACACACACACACACACACACACACAC